ACGGGGGACGACAGAAATAGAGATTGTCTCTGTATGGGAATTTACTATTGAAAAAAACCCCAGAACTAAGAACTTCTTTTTCTCCTACCACATTTCTGAAATGTCAGCTTACCACAGGGTTGGAAAACAATCGTCTCTATGCAGAAGCAAGAGACCAAAAATCTGCAGCTCTGGTTTTCCAAAGGAATAGATTGTGGATACACATCTTCCAAAAATAAGTCTTGGGAGGTCAGAAAAAGGGAACAAAACAAAGTAACTTGCATAAGAAGAAATGAGCAAATACAGAGAATATTTCAATGTCCAGAGTGCAGAAATCTTAAAAAGTAAACAGACAATGCAAAGGTGATCTGGATTCCCCAATCAAAAGAAACAAGTTACATTTGTTCACTCCCATAACAAGGGAAGGAGGAATGCAATGAAAGAAGCTGATGAAGCACAACAGGAATTTCTAGTATTTACACATGCAAGTAGAAAGGAAAAGGTAATGTAATCTTTTATCAAATTTCTTGAGGAATAATTGACCAAACACATTAAATAGTTAAATTTGAATTCCTCATTTTAAGTCTTCCACTGTCTATAATGCTGAAGGTAACAAATTCCACCAATCAGACCAAACAGCAAAAAGATGCACATCCTAATGAGTTGGAGGTCATTGTTCCCCCTTCCTCACCCAAGAAATAAATGTTTCCATAGTGCTAAGTGAATCAATCTTTCAAAGCAATTACTCAGTAAGTAAAATGGTTAAATTTGCAAATTCATTGTCATCACACAAAGAATCAGGTAAATATTTGAATACTAGTTTCCTCCACGGCTATGTATGTGTTCTCTGATTCCCTGGTGATCCCAAACAAAACCTTCCTATTAGTTCCCTTAAAATTCAAAGCACGTGGGAACTCAAAACTCCAAGAGGCAGTAATGGGGGATCCAAACTAACTACAATACATCTCTGACTCCCAGTCAAAATAATTACTAAGCTTAAAGCTTCAAATTTGTGTCAGTATGGATCCTACAGTATGTTGACCCACAAGCACCTGGGAGTAAAGAATTACACTGCATCCTTGAAGGAGCACTAAGAAAGAGACGGGCAAGACAGTATCAAGTGAAACCCAGACCAGCAAATACTGCAGAGGTAGTGAAATATCCACAGATATACCTCCAGGTGAAAGTCTACAGACATGGTTGCAGCCAAACTTTTTTCCAACTTCAATTCAATGGGAAACAATTTAGTAAAAAATAATTTTTTAAAGTCATTCCGAAAAGAAAATGGAAGATCAAGATCTATTGACTGTAAGTGTTAGCTACGGTTCTGTCTCTATCAATACATATCTTTGAGTTAATAAATTCTGATGTTCAGTTTGCTGAAAAAATATTGGTATTTTTTTAGTATTTTTCTTTTTTTTTCCTGGCAGGAAACTGCAGCCACCTGTAAGAACACTGCTACCATTGTTTTTCTTGTTTTCCTCCTACAGGTAACAGGCACCTATGGACGCCATCCCTAGGATAAGCACACAGACCTCCAGGACTTACTGGTTTCCAAATATTCTGAAAAACCACTGCAGAATTTTCTGGTGCAGGAAGTTATTCAAAATTCAATAACTACATATTGTAACTAGAGCACTAGCCACTGTTATATCAAATTGTTCTGTAAGGCTCCAGATAAACAAACAGATTGAACCATAGCGAGTCAAGCTGTGAATGTATGACACAATCCTTCTCAGTAATTTAGCCACACCTCAACTGTCACAGAATTTATCCATAGAAGAAACATTGCTAGATATTACTTCTCAACACAAAATATGCTGATTTTTCATACAGCATGCCGCTCACTCATTTTTACATGGTGCCATGACAAAGTTTGCTACAAGTTTATGCTTTAGTGTTTACCTCTTTATTCATATGCATGTTTCTACCCTAACTTTCTCAAATATGTATCTTTTTATTATAAACATCTCCAAGGCTTTCTTGTAACAATTTTTAATCTCAATAAAACAAGAGAAAGAGGATGGTGAAATGAAAAGTCACTCTGTTCAAAAAAGGAGAGCATATCTGGGGACTTTGGCTCGTTACAAGTATTTTCACTGTACTTACTGTAGAACCGTAACATTTAAGAGTGCCAAAATTCTGTTTTACTGAATTGTTACCCTGATTTAGAACATATGCTAAACCAAAGCCAAGTCTGAAATGTTACTATCATATACAATTAACACCAAAATGCAATTTCAAGTGTGTAAGTACCTTACTCTGTGCAGGACACAGCAATTTCTTGCTCAACTGCTCTAACAAACATTGCACATACCTGATAACATGCACCTAGGAAACTTTCTCCATATAGTATCATTTAGCTATATAATCCAAACATGTTAGATAAATGAAAACTGTCAATATTACTCTGTCCCTAACCATGTGATGATAAACACCACCACATGCAAGGTAAGACAAGCAGCAAATGCATTAACTGTCTTGTTCTGAAAGAGAAGCATCTCAGCAAACAACAGCAGCACAAACTATAACTACGTTAGCTGCTTAAGAAACCTTGACAAATGACAACCTGATGTCTGAGGGTCCTGTGAGGAGCCCTTAGAGGAGGACTGATCAGAGGAGGATGACTGTGGCGCTGAACCCTCAGCTAGCTCTCGCTGTCTCTGTTGTTCTGCCTTCTTAAGCCTCAGTCGCTGTAGACCCCTACGGATTATAGCTAACTCAGGTCCCATTAACTCTGACAAACAGGGAGGAAGGGGGGGGAAAAAAAAAAAAAGTATGTAAAAGAAAGAAGCATTGAACATACAATACACAGAACAGGGAGGAGGGGTGAGGGGACTGACCAAAGAAAGAAGCAACAGATCCTAAGTGTAATTACAGTGAAAAAAAAATATGTAAATCATTTACTAACATCCAGAAATTACAAAATAAAATATTGAAACTGTTTTTCTCTTCCTAAATGCATGAATCACAGGACTTAAAAGTTCAGGATTCATGTCATGCAATACACTCCCCTCCCCATCTCCAACACTTAAACCATTTAACAAAAATAGATAGATCCTGACTGATTCAAAACACAGCAAACAACAGAAGTATTCATTTTCATGTTCCTAACACACATAACAAATGAGAATATTCATGGTGTAAAATTATGCAACTGTGGGCTACAGGTAAGTTTTCAAAATGAATGTGATAGCTTCCTGATGTGAAGAAAAAAAAAAATTAGTACAATTTTGATCAAAACAAACCCGTGAAAAAAATAAACTGGGACTATGGAAATAAGCGGCAGAACAGCATCTAACCAAAAAATACACTTTACTATGAACTGATTTTTCAATCTCAGACCTTCCCAGTGGGTGAGGATTCAAAGTCTGAAAACACTGTTAAGTGGTCCTACAGATAAAGTAATTTATTGGATCATAAACAATTCTTAGTATCATTCTCTTAACAGACTATTCTTTAAGTTCCATCTTTAGAGACTTCACTGTTTTCATAGTTTTGTCTTTATTCATTTGTCAGTTATACCGTTTTGGCACGTACCAGTCCACTGTCCGATTAACAGTATTTTTTGCAAACTGCTATAAAACTAGGTGTCCAAGTAATTTTTTATTCTTTCTATGCTCTTTGCAGATTTCCTCCACTTACACAAGTGCTGTATAGCAAGTGCTTCTCTTTATACAACACAGACTGTGTCTTTATTAGCGATAGCTGAAGCACAACATTGATCTGAACCACTGCTGAACTACTCTTATCTATAATACAGTAGGGTAGAGAAGCTAATTCAGACTCAAATATTCACATCAAGTACTCTAGCTAGTTCTGCTATAAACTGCTAGCCTAGACCTATCCTGAAAGTATTTATATCAAGGGTACTCTGGAGTATTTTGTAGATATGAGGAAATCTGCAAAGAAAAAAAAAAATCAGTACTGTGAAATGTTAGAATACTGGAGAGCATTTCAATTACATTGGCATATAACCTTTCATCCAAGCAAAAGCTTTACAAACATTCCGTAACCTTTATCCACTCAGTGAAGCAAGAAAGTTTTCAATTTTCTTTCATAAAAAGAAACAAACCCAAAGACAGAATCCAATCATTCAAAAATTAGTGGCAGGCACCAGTTAATATTGAATAGTCGTGAGCTCTAATGTTCTCAGTCTAATACCACTTCTGGGAAATACATCCTGCCAGTTTATGGTTGATGAGGTGTAACAAGAAGGAGAAAGATATACTTCCTAAAAGAAATATGGCATCAAAGAGATTTGCTGTGAATAGTTTTCATGTGCCATGAACATTTATGGCAATTAGAACTCCAAACAGTCTAGAAAATGCTTTTAAGGAAATTTCAATGATTTCTAAAGTTGCAGTTTTCAGTTTTTGCTGCCGATTCAGTTCCACTCAGTCCAGAGACAGTTACAATTTAAGATGTAACAAGAAGTACAATTCAAAATGTAAAGAGATAACTGCTATCCTGAGTATGTTCAATGACCACACCTTTTAACACTTTTCAGAATCTCTAAGCAAATGTTTATTTTGCCAGCAAATGGAGTGAGGAAATAGAAATGGAAAGGAAAAAAGACAGATATTGCCACTTTCCCATTCAAAATGTAAAAGTAAAGAACACATATTAAGATTAAGCTTTGTCCTAATTAGTCAATTGCCTGCCCCCCGCAATGGTACCAATGTGTATCTGGAATATTATTTATGGAGAAAAAAAGCATTATCATATTTTACAGTTTGTTGTATCTGATGTTTATTCATGGTTTAAAACTACAGTATCTTAAAACTAGTGTAAAAAATTAATTGTTTGCACTGAATGCGCCAAGCAGGGCAAGAAAATAGATTTGTTATTTTTTTCCTTAGTGACAACTATGAAAATCTCCAGCAATTGTTCTGTTTGATTATTTCAAATAAAAATAAATAAATAATCAAACATACTGACAAGTATCTCAGGCCACTGAGATTTTCCACTGATCTTTTTGATTATTTGCAACTTACTCAAATGTTCCAACTGTATTCTTCTAGAACATACAATCTGATAAAGAGACATCGCAACAAGCTCCAGCACTGAACCATTTTTGTACTGACTCTATTTTGAACCTGTACTTTTTTAAAACATTAAGAGATGAAGTAAGTAATTCAGATGTAGAAACGCAAATGCTCACCACATGGCATATTTTCCAGAACACCATACCAACAATATATTTGAATTATAATACATATGCAGAGGTATTGCTATTTCAAAGACAGGATTACCACCAGTGCCTGTGTTCAGTACAGAAATCTATAGAAATGATTTATGGAAAGCTGTTTATAAGCCTGTTCCATTCTGTAGTACGAATACGAGTAGTGCTCCAATTCTAAAGAAGTCATTACCTGAAAACATATTCTTCATTTGCTAAATCTTTGCTACAGTATTCAAACTTGTATCTACCACCACTTTATGCAAAACAATGGCTGAAAGCCTCTCGCTTTCCTTCTTCCATTTTCCAAAATGCTTCCCCAGTCATCTGTCTTTTACAAAACACCTCTATCTGGTCTTCCTACTCAACCCCACTGTATTTAAACTACTATTCCTCTTACCACTTTCCCTATCCTGTCACCCCAAAAAGCAGCAGGTTTTATTCACCTCTGCAGCTAAACAAACTCAGGGAATCCTGTTCTTGAGGCAGAGTGCAGGGTTTTCATGTTTATAGACTAGATAACGTGAGTAAATAGAGAGCACCCTCGTAAGTTACAAAAGTATACAAACATTGCAAAAAGGAAATTCCCATTCAAGCCTACCCATTCATAAACCCACTTCTACTGTTCTGCCATGACCTGCTCCCTCTGCCCAGGAGCCTCCCCTCTGCCTGAAATTGCCCACGTTACCCAAAGACTTGTTTTATAGTAACTTAAGTCTTTTAAAAGCACTGCAAACTAGACAAGATGCTTACTAGTTGTGCAAACGTACAGTACTATTAAGTTTACTCCTGCAGGAGTCCTGCAGACAATTTAAAGATGACACCTGGCCTGGTCTTAACACTAAAATCTGCATACAGCAATGAAGAATACCAGATAAAGTTTTGTTTGTTTGTTTGTTTCTGTGGGTTTGGAGTTGGGGTGGGTGACGGTGACTTTGATTTTTTTTTTTCTTTTTTAAAGAATCAGCAGCCAATCTGACACCCTGCTTAGGTGTAGTCAAAGAACCTATCAAACATTATACAGTAAATTAGAAAGTATCCACTGCCTGTCAACAAAACTATCACCACTACCCCTTTCAAAACTGAGTTTATGGAGAGTCTTAAGTCCAAAGTAACACTGGGAAAGAGGAAATGCTCTTAAGAGAAGAGCTGGATTAAGAAATAACAACTTCAGCTTCATGCTAGCAGAATAAACTTTTACTTAGAAATTCAGAGATTCAGAGAAGAAGAGGAAACTCTAGTCAGGATGCATTCTTTAAAACGCAGGATAGAAAATGCATCGTAATTCCAGAAATGCTCTCTAATGCATTATCATTATGCAACCCACAAAGTTTCAATAGCATAGCGTGAAGCAATTATTTTTAATATGGGACATCCTCTCCTGGCCCGTGTAAGCTCCAGAATACACCATATACTTTAAAAAAAATCCAAATGAACCCTTGGTAATGGTTTGTGTGTTCTTTGGTGGCTATCCCTCTGTACCAAAGACAGTGGCAGCTAAATTGGGTTACACTGAATTAGAGTAGACCCCTTAATCAATTTTTTGTGTGTATATTGTGAAAAACTTGAGATTGCAGCAAGCTGACACCAATACTAATAAAAAACATAGGTGACTAAAAGCCTCTGCCACTAAACATGCTAGCATTCACTTATTCTAGAATTAGTATCTGGACTGTGTGTATCGTCATGCTTCTACTCACTGTTTATTTCCTCTAAATAAGTATTAGACTAGTTTTAAGGTTTGAAAGGGCGAGAATGATACATTTAATGAATTTCAACTTAAGTGTTCAGCTTCCCTGTCTTTCAGACAGGGACACTAGATACCTAATCATTTCTCACGTGTCCCAAAGATTTTGGCTGCAGCAGCCACAGTATGCTGAATGGCATCCTTTTACCTGGGAAATCCCCATCTCTTCTTTACTCCAGAACATCCAATTTAGGGCCTGAAGATGCTATCAGTCATCTTTTCCAATAACAAAGACACTGATTTTTTACAACAGAATTGGTACAAGACAAAAGGTGAATTTAGACAAAAAACACGGGATTTTAAAAAAATCAAGTCTGAACCTGTAGGTGCTTTGGATCACATCAGCCTTTCCACCACAACTGTGAGGCCTAGAAACTCACTTTAAAAAAGTAAAAAACAAACTCTTCTGCAAATATCTAAGTCTAAAGGCTGTGGCATCTTTTCCTGCACAGAGATGGAAAAGGACAAGTCAAAGCATAAGGTGCTCTTTTACTACACAAATAGGTTTCTGACATTGACAGTGGAATATACTTTCTTCTTTTTCCCCACAATAAGAATGTAAGTCTGTATTCAATACAGATGAGTTTCTTCAAGATACACAAACTTAAAACCCAATATGTAGTATAATTTATTAACCAAGAATGGAATATCATGCAAGGCAAGCCCTGTCTATCCAGATACTTTTGAGAAGCAAAAACATAACATTGCTGACTGAAATGTTGAGGATGTAGATTCCTACTGAAGGACACATTCTCTACCTCCTCTGACTGTTAACAGGCTTAGGTTCTGCTATTCACTGCACTGATGCTGCTACAGCCAAATCACAGTTGAAGAAGGTATGATGTTACTTCTACTCCATGAAAAGAACAGTAAGTTTAGAAAAAAAGAAGCAATAATTTTTTATTTGTACTTCAAAAGACAATACTGGTTATCCCCTTTGAGATTTCTTCTTCAGACAAACATACACAGTTAATGGCTTTACTCTTTCTTTAAACCACAGCTGCAGGCACTTGGTAACTATAAAATACCTAGTCTCATTAAGGATGTGCAAGAAAGAAAACAGATTGAGATCAATTACCCAAAAATATCCTAAAATAAAATTGCTTCTTATTGAAAGCATTTTTCATAAACAATGACAAGATGGATTTCTTCTCACCAGACTGATGGAGCAGAGGCTGAGCTGAGGCCCCTAAAGAAGGCCTTTGTTCATTATCAGGAGAGGACAATAATGAAGTCGAAGGGGGACTTTCTGTTGAAGACGATGTTGAAGGAGCTTGGGCTGACATTGTAGAAGAGGAAGATGATGGAAGTTGTTCAGAACCATCTACTTCCATTGCAGTTTCTGATTCTGTACTAGGTGGCACATTATTAGTAGCAGGAGCATCTGTCCGGTTAGCCCCACCTTTGATTAAAAATAAAAAAAAAAGGCAAGAAAAACAATAGCCCAAAGGTAAACTTACTCTGTCTCTAAAGATCCCTTTGCATTACCATTCATATGGCAAACAAGTGTGCTCAGTTCTTCAGAGTGCACTAAAAATTTTTTTAGTTTATACCTCAGAAAGGCTGATACTCAAGGCCTGTATATCCAGTACAAACATACTTTCTGTTGTAATTACTATTACTGAAAAGAAAGAAGTCACCTCTGGACCGTGATCTTCCTCGTCCTCGATTGCTTTGTGCAACTTCACTAGCTTCTTCAAACCATCTTGACAGCATGTCTGACATCCTCTGCATTAGAGAGACATTAGGACTTTGCTCCCCTGTAAAACAAATAATGCTAAAGTTTCATCTACAAGTTTACAAAAGTATTCATTTTTCACCCCATTTCTTCTTCCATAAAAAACCCCTGTACTGTAAGCTACGTAACTAGTAATGCCCTGAACCATCTCCTTTTTTCAGCACAACAGTTTAGCAAGAATTGCCAGCTGAACACGGCACCACATAAAACCCAGCAGTCCTTCCCCCTTTTCTGTTTTATAATTAACTGGAGCTTTTGTACACATGACATTGTGAAATGTATGTCATTCAGTTTTAAATGCTGGTTAAATAAGTTAAGAAAGCCTAGATTTTTATGGTTTTCCAGCTAATTGTAAAATAACTAATTTTATCATTAAAAAATGAAAGAGCAAAAAGGCTAGCATAAAATTAGCACGTGCTGTTTTTAACATTTCCAAAAGGCTTCTTCATGACTTAATTTTCCTCATAGGCACAATTTAATACAACAGCAGTGTTCTTTTAGGGTTTTTCATTTTCACATTTTGGATCAAGTGTCAGGATTGCAGTCTCAAGCAGCAAAATCACCAACATATTTTCAACATAACTCAAAACATTTTCTTCTCATTTTATTTCTGGTTTTATTACATATGAAACAAAATTTGTTTCAAGAGAGAAGATAGGAAAATTCCATTTGTAATGGGCTGAAGTAGAATATTTGAATCTTTAAGTGTTTTTTGTATTCTGTGACGTGGAGTTTGGGGTTTTTTGGTGGGTTTTGGTGTTTGGTTTGAGAGGGGTTTTTTGTTAACACATTGGCATCTTCCAATAGAAGACCAATTCCACTGGACTGGACCATTCCACTCATACTGAAGTAAGAGCTTCTGCTGGCCCCTTAACCACTTTGGAAGTATGCAGTGTTTAAGCAACTTTTGGAAAAGTTTTGTAATTGAAGACCTTAAGAAATAGAATCCCTGTGAAGTACAATTACTTATCAAAATACATGTGTGAAAAAGTATTTTAACACCCTGCATACAAAAGCTAACACTGAAAGATTCTGGAGCGTACTTGGAAAGAACATGTACAGTGAGAATATGCCTCTCAAAGATCACTGCTGCTACCCACACAGATGTTATAAAAGCTGAAAGACTAATCAAATATCTGGAGCAACTGATTATCTTTCAGGACTGCATATAATCTTCACTGCTAGGACATAGCTTGAATGTATCAGCACTAGACCTTGCTTTTAGATTATTTGCTTGAGTTTAAAAGACATTGGTGGGAATGGAGAAGGGAAGGGGAACACACCTACCTAACCCACGCCCTCCCCCAAAAAATACCCCTCAATCTGACCCCAATGCCCTTGTCTATCCTCATTTCCACACTGCAGGTCTCTGACCCCTCCCGGGATCCCTCATTTCCTTCCTGTACTCCAGGCAGGGGAGCTCTGACCTCAGAAGCTTAAAACACAAAAAATGGAATGCAACAGCTGAAGAAAACAGACAAAAGGTGGTTAATGATGGGAAGAGAGGACAATGAACAGTTAACAGAAAAATAAGTCACAGGTCATCACATACCTAACTAATGCAATATAGCTATTCTCTCTCAATCACTATACAGTTGTATTAAATAACACACAGTAAAGATACGGAAGCTTTGTTTTGAGAAAATAAAAATCTAGCCAATGTCTATGCTGGAGGAATCCTTTTTTCAGGCTTTATTTTCTCCCCAGCAGATTTACTTGATATTATGGGGAAATGACAGACAGAAGGACACTGAAGATATTTAGCTGAAAAAGAATTTAGATAAAAAGTAACTTTGTACAAAGGCAAAGCTGCAAGTAATTTTCATGGGAAAAACCTGCAACAAAAATTACAGCAAAGCGTCCCTAATATGAGGAGGTATACAAATAAGGTCTGTGGAATGAAAGCACCAAGTAAGCAGAATGTAAACCTGTTAATAATCAAATCCTGTGATATTAGAATAAAAAGGCACATGATGAAACTAAGAAAGCAGTTTAATAGAAAAGAAAGAAAGTATTCCTTTACACAGTGGGCACTGAAGTCCTGGAATTTTTTGCCATAGGAAATATTACCAACAGGTTCAAAAAAGGATTACAGAAACTCTCAGGCAACAGAACCACACACAGATTCTAAAGGAACAGATGGGAACATACCCTCTAACATTTCTAATCCAATAATTCCGAATACTGGAGGAGCAACAAAGACAACAGACTCAGGTAAGAGGACAGGCTCATGTTCTCTCCCTATGCAGCATCTCCTATTGCCTGTGTGGATACAGACTACTACTCTACATGAATCACTAGTCTGATAGAGCTAGACACTTCTATCCTAGTTTGGGGAATTAGGAAGATGAGAAAACCAACACAGCAAATCTGGAAAGGGAAGTGGTAGGCAGAAGAGGGAGACATTTAAGGGACTAGAACAAATTCTTGTACCCCCCAAACCTGTCAGATTTAAACACAAACACATCATTAGATGAAGAGTAAGATGAGTGACAAAGCACCCTCTGTCCTGCTTTGGTATCCCATTTTCTGACATTAAAGCATAGCTTTGGAAATGCTCTATCTACTGAAACCTCAAGTAATTGAGCAATACATTAGAAACATGAAAATACAAGCACAAAAATTTAGTCACTACATGTGTTTTATAAAAAAAGTGAAAGATACAATATTAGAATCCTATTGCTTTGAATTCCAGTCTCCTAATGTAACTATTACAGAGCATTTCATTTGTAACTTTGATTGCATATGAGGCTTCACTACAAAAAGGGAAAGACGTATGTGTGTTACTACATGACCAATGACAATGAAGTAAGCTCCCCCTGATTTACATCAGCCCAACTGAAGCAACATAATATTTATAAGAATATTTTCAATTTTGACATTTTTTTAAAATCACTGTAGAATAGCAGTTCTGTGTTAAATTCTAAGAAAACCATCTTAAGAGCTGGCTGATTCTTAAAACATGGACAATTTCATCTGAAGCACTTACATATTTCAGGAATACTTAAGAAAAATTGGAAAATAAACCCCAAACCAAAACAAGAAAAACCCAACAAAAAACCAACCAAAACAAAACACACAAGCAAAGACAACCACCCCCCTCCAACCGCAAACACTTTACCATCTCTTTCTCGTTCACTCTCAGGCCTTGCTCTTGGTCCAGTATCTGACCAATCCCCTCTTAGCCGCAAACGTTTAACAGGAGGTTGCCGTAACTGGGGGCGGGGGGGGAAGAAGAGAAAGGCATTACAAAGCTATTTATGTTGGACAGTACAGAATTCTAAGTCTAAATATAAATGCAGTATCTCAATTTTCTTAAGTTACATAAATTTGTATCTGTCACAAAAAAATGGAATGTCAGCCATATGTTCAGATCAGCTATGAATAAGCACTGTATCAACAGAATGCAAGAGTTTTAGCTACACAGAAGTTCAACAGTCTAAATCAATGACTCTCAGAACGACAGCAGCTTTTACTTTATGCAATACTAACTACTATGTTAACTGAGGCTTTCCATACTGAACAATAATAATTAAGGTTTTCCAGAATTGAGCCTGAATTCTGCAAAAGTATTCACCTCTTCATGTTAAAAACTATATGGTAGCTTCAGTTTAATGAAATGTGGATTTGCAATTAAGCAAAAGGAAAAAACAATCAGACATTAACAAAAGAAAGAAATTTTATTAAAATAAACTTTGGTTTTTTAACCTGTTTTTTAAAAAAGCTTTTTTTTT